AGGAAATTATGAGCAATTGAAGCATTTTTTTGGGCGAGGTCACCCTCCTAAGGGGAATGAATGGAAAGGATCTGTCGGGAGACTGCCTCCTAGTGCTGACCGGGAAATTCCATGTTGGCTGGTTAGAGGCCACATTTCTGGGGAAGGCTGAGGCTGTGATTAGGTCGGTATTAAGTCTTGGTTTGCTAACATAGGTCCTTAACACAAGTGACTCCATTTTGGGCCTGTTGTCCCTTTTTTAATAATACCCATTGAATAGCAACTCCTCTTTTCCCTCACCACCCATCCCTTTTGTTTTATTTCCCCAAACTCAGGAATAATGGGAACCAAGAGGGAGGCAAATAACCTCCAAGTCACTTTTATTTGTCTCCAACCTGCTGGGCATTGCTTCTGACTGCAGTTGTGCTCTTATCCTGGGTGATTTAAAGATAAATGTTAATATTTATTTAGCAGTTACGGACCTGTGCTGAGCTCGTTTCATCATTATCTCATTTAATTATCTCAGCAGAATTGTGAGTTCCATACAATTATTATCTGCATTTTTAATAGATGAGATAGTAGGTTAGGAAAATTGAATAATATTCTCAACATTTACACATTAAATGGCAGACTGAGGACTTGAACACAAGGCACTTGTCCCCAGCGTCTATATACCACTAATGATGGCTGAACCAGATTTGAAATACTCCTCTTTCATGACATGTATATGCTCACTGCAGTTCTGTGTCAGGAAAAGCTGGATAAACAATCAAAGCAAAATGAAGCAGAAGAAAAACAAAACAAAACAAAAATCTCCAGTGGGAACTCTTTCCTGTTCATATTGTCAAAATCATGTAAATGCAGAACTCACAGGCACGGCCGTAGGTTCTATTGCTACATACCTGTAGTTAAAAATGGAAAGGCAAGGGTTGTAAATTTCTTGGTTTCTGCAGAAACAAGTGATCATAACGTTAACACGAGCCATGTGACTACTTCATGAATTCAGTCACAGATAGTTAATTTGCGTACATTTTTAAAATTCAGTTTTAAATATTTTAAGAAAAAGTGGGTACTTTGCATTTTGGCACAGTCCTCACCACTTTGTGTCTGGCTTTACCTGCTCTACTCACTATGTATCTCTTTTGCCGTGTTAGGCATTTGTGTATGAAATTCCCACTTAGCAACAGAAATGTGAATGGAATGGGATGTTTTTCTTAATATCTTTAGTATTTTAATATACAATACACATTTTTATCTTGAGGCAACTTCTGATGAGGCATTTTCTCCCTTATTATATCTATGTTAATATCATGGTCTCCTTCTTTTCCTTCTTTCTTTTTTGAGCATGAACATTATTTTTTTTGGTTGGGGGTGGATTCCTATTTATTTAATTCTTCTGTCTTCTTTGCTGGGGGTAGATATTCATCAAAGAAGGAAAGGGAATTTTTTTTTGTTTGGTGGAATCCTCAGAGATTTTTTAAAAAGAGAGATGAAGACCTGCTTCTCTGACTTCTCCTTGTCCCTTGGTAAAGATATGGCTTCAGCGTCCAGTAAAGTGTTAGCGTGTATAGGGGGAGGTGGCAGCATTTGAATTGATCAGAGGAGGTCAAAGACAATTTGCTTTTCTCCTGTGAGCCTCAGTTTCCTTATCTGTAAATACGAGTAACGATAACACATAATTCACACACAGTTCTAATAAAATATCCAGTAAAGTGCCCAACACTGTAGAAATCCTGCACATGTAGGTTGCTATTCTCCTTCCATTAGTTCTTTTCAGAAACGAGGACTGAGTACAGACACTGCCAGTGGTATCAAAGTATATACAAGCATTTCTGATGAGAATGTCAAGGAAAGGTTGCAATAAAAATGTACTCTTGCCAACAAAAGCTCCCTAAAACCACCACACACAATGTCAATATGCCTTATATCTAAATCATTTCTGTGTGCATGCTTGCACATATATGCTGCATCTGTGTCCATGTAAGCACACATGTGCACACATGGATGTGGCATTTGTGTGCAGATTGCTGTGTTTGTGCATGCAAGTGTGGGTGTGTGTGTGTGCAGAAAGAAATAGGGCTGGAGGAAGAAGATACATTGCACAAGATACTTGATGGTAACCCTTATTTAGTGTATTGTAACTCATGGCATATAAAATAAAGTTTGTTTATGACATCGGTCTTATCTTCTAATTAAAATCATAGGCATGCAGCTTCTCTATACCTGCCTAAAATAAGCAGTTTAATTTCTCTGCACCAGGGGAAAAATTATTTCATTGCCTTGTTATGTAGCCGATCAGTACATGGTGTGAAGTAAGCAGGGGTGATTATGAAAGCCTCATTCTTACCCTGTGTATTTGTTCTCTCATGCCCTGCCAGAGCATGAATGCATCCTCTGAGGTTTCCTCAAGGGCAGCCAGGGTGCTTTTCCCGGTTATCCTCACCCCATCACAGTGCTGAAGAAGGAGAAATTTATTCTATCTCTGAATAACCCATCTGAGAGCTTTCCCCTAGATGAGCTATGTCCAGCCGGTACATCACAGCCCACTGGTGCGCTGCAGGGGTTTTTAAAACATGCAACACCTGATTATTTAGTCAGGGACACTGACCTCCTTTCCCTTAGACTGTCAAATAAAAAAAATGGCAACAGCCAACAGAACAATAGCTTTCCAGTATGGATGAATCAAAATTGTACCTATTTTTTGTGAAATGGGCAACAAAAAAAATATTCATTTTTTTCCTGTGCTGTAGAATTTTAGTAATTAGTTTATATGTGCCATGAGATGAAAAAGGTTGAAAATCGCTGCCCTAGATTATTTGCACGTGCATGAAAAAATTATACAATACATCCATTTCTTAAAAATTTGCTGATAATAATAATTTATTTCAATAAAGCCAAAGCAAGTATTTGAGAAAGAGAATGTAAACTGGTCTTAGAAGCTGCAAAGGAATAAAAGAAAAAAAAAGCTATGAATGCTGGCAGTTAAAAGGATTGAGTTTCTTTTAAAGCTTACTTTATAATACTAATATATGCTATGCTAACATTTTAACAATCCTACTATTTAGTAGTTTTATTTTATAAGATATAAAAATGTTTTCTGCTTTGTTATAGACTTTGGGCACTGTGAATCAGACTATGTGTAGAAGTAGCCCCAACAACTGGTAGCAGATTAGTCAAAAACAGGAAAGCTACAAGGGGAAATAAGCTCACTTACTTATTTGGTCACTCAGCAAACGTTAGGAACTCAAAGGAATTGGGTTGAGGTGGATAAAAATGGTCGAAAGTGCTGTGCTGCTAATGAAGCTAGAGACATAAGCAGGGGGCAGATTATGCCAGGCTAGTTTAAAGATTTTAGAATATAGGAGGATAAATGATAAGCCATTGAATGATTTTAAGTAGGGGAGTATCAGAAGCAAATTTGTATTATAGAAAGATTGTTCTGGACACAGTGTACAGAGTGAATTGCAGGGAACAAGGCAGGCACAGTGAGATTGGCTAGCGATGCTTTACAGCAATCTGGTACAGAGAAGATCACATTTTGGACTAAGGCGATACAGTGGGCAGGGAGCGAATGGATCTGATTTCAAGGTACTTAGTAGGTGAAATGCACAGAACTTTAGAGATAAACTTTAGAATGTAAGTGGAGAAGCAGAGTTAAGAGTGAATCTCAGGCTTTTGGCTTCACATGAATGATAGAAACATTTCCTAAACCAAACAGGAAATACTGGGGGAATCAGAGGGCTGGGACGAGGCACATTGTGGGGCATGTTGAGTGTGAGGTGTCTGGGTAACATCCAAATAGAAGAATCTGCCAAGAAGCTAAGTTTTCAAGTCTGACACTGAGAGGAGACCTTAGTTTGAGATTTAATTTATGAGCTGTCCTCAGAAAGATGGTAATTGAGGAAAAGAAAAATAAAAGTGGAAGAGGTCACTGAGAACCAGTTTGTTGAGTGAGAAGAGAATGAGGTCAAAGCTGAGGGCTGAGAGATTGTCATATTATAAGGATAACAGAAAGTTGAATATTCAAAAGAGATGAAAAGAAAGACCAAATATGTTGCTATACATGTCCCTGGCAGAGAATGCTTCAAGAAGGATGGGATTCCCAGGAGTTCAACTAAAAGAAAAGTGAATGCCTGACTACTGGATTTAAATACTGAAAAGACAATGATACCTTTAGTGGGACCAATGTCACTGAATTACTACAAGTAGTAGCCAAATTGCACTTACTGGAGGGGGCTTTTCAATAAACACCAAAAGGTAAATAGTAATCATAGCTATCACTTGTCAAGAATATTCATTATACTGGGCACTCAAAGCCAATTTGGGTATCATCAGGTTCAATTATTACTGTGGAAACCACGGCCTCTAGAAGTTAAGTCATTTTCCAAGGTGATACAATATGAAAAGAGAAATGTTGAGATTTGAGCATATTTCCTTTGATGTCAAAGCCTTTATACTATGCCATTCTATCTGGCTTGGGGATGACAGATTTTCTTGGGCAGTAGACCTTGCCTCGAGGTCCTTTGGGGATATGTGCTTTGGAAATTATAGAGAACAAAGGGAACATGAAGCCACTTAAATAAATTGAATCACTAAAACAATTCAGAAAGAACAAAACAAACATGAGATTATAGGGGATCCTTTTCATGAGTAAAAAGCAATAAAAGCAATAGTTTGATGTACAGTGACATAGAAAATTGAGCAGGGAGAAGGGAGAGAGGTATGATGCTTCAAGTCAGGGGACAGAGGACCATAAGCATATGCTCCCAATACTTAAAAGAGAGACACCCCAAAATGAAGTCTCATTTGTATGCAAACCTAACCTTACACAATATTTCAGCTCAATTCCATAATGAAGGACTAAATTGGTAAAAAAGACCAATATTTTATATGGCTCCCAGATGCCCCTTTCTGTGTAGTGATATACAAATACAGGTGGCTTAATATTTATGCTTTAATTTCTTGTGCTTATTCTCTCCTGCTAACTCTATGTATGTTTTCTCCTCTCTCCTTTTTTTCAGATCATGCTGCTTAGTGATCCTGAAATGGAGAGCAGCATATTGATCAGCTCAGATGAAGGGGCAACCTATCAGAAATACCGACTCACCTTCTATATCCAGAGTCTGCTCTTTCATCCCAAGCAGGAGGATTGGGTGCTGGCCTACAGTCTGGACCAAAAGGTGAACAAACGCTGTTTTCACATCTTGTCACCTGGATACCACTTGGTGCAAAGCACTTGTTTATTCCATCTGAATTTCGGAGGGGGTTCAGTGGCATTTCATTGTTCCAAATGAGTTGCTTTTGTCTTTAGCAACTAACTTTCCTGTCTACTCTCTAGTACCAAAATACATAGAAGGTGTCTTTCACTTATTGGCAATGCTTTTTATTATTTCATAGGTTCAAGATGGCTTTCTCTATAACTTGACTCATTTGGCCTTTACCCTGTGAAATAAATAGGAAATGTGTATTCATAATAATTTTATGGTGACTGTAGTAAACAGAGATGTTCAAATGCACCCAGCTAGTAGCTGGAGGAGTCCAGATCTGAATGCACATTTTTAGATTGCAAGCCTAGGGTGTATTATATCACACCATGCTGCCTTGATTTGATAAAATTTGAACACACTGTTGATCTGAGTTTAGCAAAGAAAGCAAGTCTTTAAACATGTCTTTTTTTGTTATTTTCTATAAGTACATTCAAGATATAGTGGGCCAATAAGTCCTCCTTTTTGAGTTCCACCTCCGTATATTCCGGTTGTGTACTTGACCTTGTCTCTTATAGTTTCAAAAGCCTCTTGATTCAACATATTCCAAAAATGAACTTCTGATTTTACCCCAACGTAGCTGGTTCTCTGCCAGTACTTCCAAATTGTGTCCATTTAGTTATGACAGTCAGACACTTAGGAGGCGTCCTTAATACTTCCTTGTAGTCCTAACCCAGCACCTCTATTTCTAACTATCTCTTGATTCCATGAGCTTCTTTCTATTACCACTGCCATGCAAACATAAGTTAATGCTCTCATTTGAATTATTGCCAGAGCCTCTTCCAGTGTATTCATACTATTACCTGAACAATGTATTTCCCAAATTTAGATCTTATGACTTATTGCCTTTGTTAAAACTTCATTATCATTTTCTCATTGCTCATAGGAAAAACGACAACAGTCCTCAGTAAGATCTGTCAGCACCTACTTGGTCTGGTCCCTCCTTCTCCCTCTTGACTTGCTGTTATCACTTCCACTCACCCCAGCTGTCTCCCCTGCTCCATTTCCTGGGCCTGGAATCTTCTTCCCTAAGGGAAACCTCATCCCTGCCAGATCTCAGATCGAGGATCACTTCCTCAGGATGTTTTCCCTAAATCTCTTGACAAAGTCCTTGATGTTCTTTCTTACAGCACGGTGAGAAAGAACACTGATACCCCTTGACAGTACTGTCATGGGTGATATTTTTATAATGATTTATATCATTTTTGGATTATCTGCATTCTTCACTAAATTGAAAACTCCAGGAATGCAGGGCCATCTCTGTTTTTACTTACTGTTGTAGCCTCAGACACTAGCACAGTGCCTGGGACTTAGTAAGTGCTCAGTAATTATTTGATAAGTGGCCAAATTAGTAAAAGGATGCATAAATGCTATGGTAACAAACCCTCTATGGTTGATCAACCGATACTTCAGAAAGTAGACTGCAGGTGATTTTTCTTCATATCTCCTGCCATCTCCATAACCTTAGGACAGTGCTTGATTTCAAACTATAATATAACAATGTTGTGGAATCAATCAATAAAAGGAAATAGAAAATTCCGAGCACTGTCATGAATAGAGAGATCCACAGAATAACCTTGGTTGAAACAGCTTCTTCTCTTTATTTTCCCTTAAATCCTGAGATAGTTGCTTCTCACTGTATATTTGAATATGGGATTGTAAATATGAGTGAGTATGTGTGTGTATGTATACGCATGTGTGATGTCAGCACCTTTAAACAATAATTTCAACATAACCTTTATCTCTCTCATTAACGGAGCCTCAAGGTAGGTGTCAGGCACTTAATGCAATCCCCTAAGGACAACCACATGACATTTGCAGAGCAAAAGCTATTGCAAATACATTCCTTTTCATGGCATCAAATGGATATTGTATAAAAGGCTTAGCCAAAAGTCAGATAGTCTGTGAGTTTAGATGCTTAGTATATTCAGGAATTTTGAGGCTATGTCAAAAAAAATAAATTACTTGGATTGTTAAATGGCTAGATGGTAATTTAGAAGCTCAGAACTTGTGAATCATGTTTTTATTTATACAGAGACAAGTTATCAATAGATTAGAGGCAACAGACATCTCATGACAGGTTGATAAACCAAATGCAATGTGCCTTGTGTGTATCTAGAAGGAGTATCCTTTCTCTCCATCACCACAGCACTGAGAACGTTTGCGGCATTGCTCAAGAAGTACTTACCCTTGTAGGTAAAATGCATTCAAAATATTTTCAGACCTGGTGGCTGCTTTTTTACTTAGTAAAAAATATTTGGAAATGTGACAGTGGTGTTGATGGATTTTCCTAAACACACTGTACATTTCTGGACAGATTATTCCTCAGGCACTGTTTCTTGTTGTCATCTTTTGTGTAAAGTGGCTGACTACTCTTCAGGCCCATAAAGTTCCTAACTGGTGCCCTGTCATTCTTTTGAATAGATGGTGTGAGGAGGCAGATGATGCCCCTGGCAACATTTGCAGAGATGACATAAAACACCTAGACCCAGTCATCCACGTTGCAGAAGTTTTTCTTTATTTTGGGGTAATTTATCGGTTTAGAGTCAAGGAGAATGATGCTATAGAGCAGCAAATGAAGATGTAAGGGTAGTTGAGCTTGATATACAATTGTCTTATTTCAGACTGAAGCTTTCTCTGATGTGCTTGCGTTGAGGCAGCTGGTTTCTTCCAGAGAAAATGAAAAGTGCTAGTGTTAAGGTAACTGCAGCATCAAAGGGAGATGTTTGTGGTGAGGAGTGAATCAATGTTTTCATTATTGTGCCTTTGATGAAATGCACTAGCGATTTCTTTAGAATTGGTAAGGCTGTCTCCTTCTGTTGTATGTATTACAAAAGACCTAATTGAATGATATTTTAAAGGGACCATATTCAATTGCTTTACCTCCAAATTGCTACCTCAAAGCAGCAGGAGGCCTTCCAGGAGATTTCACTTGGTAAAAGCGCTGCTGGAGAACTAAGGTGATACCTTCTGGATAGAACAAAATTGTACTTAAAAATTGAGAGATGGACACAGTGCTGTGTTAGCTGAGGTGCCTTGTGGCAACTTTTGAGTCAACTGGGAAACATGGCGACTTTGCACTGATTAAGGCCAGGTTATGGGTTAAGGTCATCCGAGCCTTCCAACTTCCAAAGCTGCGAAGGGGTGGGGAGGTAGGGGGCAAATGCACCTTGCACTTGACCCTGTTGGAGGGCCATAATACCTCCTCTGATGTGTTCCAATATAGCAAAGTCCTTTCTGTTTCCTGTTCAGCTTGACTTGGGCTTTTGACCAAGTCCTTTCATTCTGACCATCCTATGAGAGTCCCAATTCCTGCCAATTTCTGTGCCAGCTTCTGCATTTCGATATAAAAGGACTCAGTACTTAGCAAAGACAAGAGATTCTTTTTTGGGAAAGAATCGTTGGATCTTTGGAGATGCTTTATAGGAATTTTGTGATTAAAAAACAACCAGCAAAAGTAATAGGTTGTGGTTGACCAAATTGGAAATTAAAACAAACAAACAAACAAACAAAAAGCCAAAATAACCCTCCTCTGCTCCCCTCATTTGCCCTATGCTCCTTTCCTCACCAAACCTCTAGAAACATCTTTTGAGGGCTGAATGTTTACCAGTCATTTGAGAGGCAGGATTCTTTTTTGTTTTCATCAGACTCTTTCTTTCTTCGCCGATGACTGAAACAGCTTACCTTGTGATGCTTTGGATTAGCTGGAGGGCTCAATCTTCTTACTAAAACTGAGAATTTTTGAAAGATTTCGAGGACATTGAAATCCTCTAAATAGATAGGTGTTGTTCTTATCATAGAAAGCTGGATGTTTAAACATCCCTCATTTTGACAAGAGACTCTGCAGGGGTTTTTTGTTTTTTTTTTCAATGGGCATGTGCTCATGTATTCACAGATACATCCATTGTGGCACAGGAGGCTTTCCACGGGAGATGGAGGACTGAACATGGTTATTTTTCTATGTGAGAGGTGGGATTGCAAAGCTCTTTATCATCATTCCTCTTCTTGGCAAAATGAAACTTTAACAAATACAGCTGGTTTTGGAGATCAGTGATGAAGAATTCAGTGGGATTTCAGATTCTATTGTTTTTCAGACCCTCCTGCGCTAAACTGATCTGGAATCTCCAGTAATTTCTACATAAAAACCACTTTCTGAAGCACTAATACTTTAATGATAGGTTGCTGTTACAGTGGTTGGAGAGGTGCGTGTGCAGCTATGGTTTTGTTTTGTTTTGTTTTTTTGGTCATCTTTTACCGGCCAAGTTCAATAGCAGCTGACAGATTGACGAGCTAAGATTGACAAGTTAAGAAGCTGTGCAAGTTTAGGCATGGTCACTGGCAAAACAGGGTCTCCTGTGGAGGAGATGATGGTGGCTGCACACGGGCTTTGCCGGTTGGGTCCTGCGGGGGCTGCCCCAGCACGCACGCTCAGGGCCCTGGTGGGTTAGAGCATATCTGGAGTGGGGAAGGCCTGAAAATTGAAGAGGAAGTTTAAAACCCGTGCTTTTGAAATCCTGGATAAATATGAAGCTGTTCCTTTCACTTAAATTCTCATATAAACCCTCAGATTAGAAATGTAATTGTATTCAGAGCCGCCAGGATTAGCAGGTGATGATAATTTTCCTCAGTAGCTATTGGCAGAAGCATGTGTCCTGTCTCCCCACCTGGTGGGGATTAACTAGGGGTGACCATGGTTTTGAAGCTTATCCCTCATGGAATAAGAGTAGGACTGAAGGGCACTTTTTGTATTTAAAGAAAAACAGTGCATTTTCTTTAAGTCCTCTCCTGTGCCTGTAAAACGATTTGCGTATCATTTAAGAGGAAAAAAAATCAATAGCCCCACTCACCTATGACAAGCTGACTGCATTTACCGTGCCTCATCAATACAGTAGAGACGTGCTACTTCTATCACCATA